GTATGTATGTATGTAGGTATGCATGCATGGATGCATGGATGCATGTATGCATGTATGCATGTATGCATGTATGCATGTATGCATGTATGCATGTATGCATGTAGGGATGTAGGTATGTATGTAGGTATGTAGGTATTTATGTATGCATGCATGTATGTATGGTTTAACTTACATGCATCCCTCGCGGTGGTAGCACTATTTTAGTTGTCCTAAAACGCCACCTGAGACATGCCCAAACGCTTGTCCTCTTCTGTCTCCGCCACTTTTGGAAGGGTTGCTGTCTGCGTCTGGGCCGAGGATGTAGCTACTGCCACAAAGTTCGGGGCTTGAGGGCTTAGGACTTACAGCTAAAGGTTTACGGGTTCATTAAGGGTTTGCTGCTGGTTCGGCTACCTAAACACTGGTTCTTCGCATTCGCCGTACGACCCACCGATTGGCCTCCCACAACAGGGCTTGTAGGCTTCTGGAAAGGTTTCTGCAGGTTTAGGGCTTCGGATCCAGTTCACTGCCCCCCACTTGAAGGTTCATGGGAAGTAATTTGTCGGGCTCAGCGTACACCTCACGTTCTTCTTTGCAATCCTCAAACCCTAAACCCTAAAACCTGGTCCGTCAAATGACTCTGGAAAACCACAACCTCCTCCCGAAGTCCGTGAGCTGAGCCGCAAACCTATAGAGCCCCAGGGCCAAAGTTGCGGGATCAGCTTAGGGTTTAGGTTTAGGGATTAGGGTTACTTGGAGGTTCATGGGTAGTTATAAGTAGGGCTATAAGTAGGGTATCTATAGTTATGACCTCTATTAGGGGACTTATAACTCCACTTATAACTACCCATGAACCACCAAGTAAGGCTTGAGCGTGTTTTGCATGGTGGCCGCGAGCCGCGTGCACTAGCGCGGCTCAGTCTTTCCCACGCTTGACCCACCCAAGCTCGACTGTTCTGGAGTTTAGGGTTTAGGGTTTAGGGTTTAGGGTTTAGGGTTTAAAGTTTAGGGTTTTAAAGTTTCTACCCCCTCAACCCGCCTTATCAATGGGGGCTTTTGCCACCAAGTGAACAGCTGCTGGGGCGGAGCGGTGTGGGGCATATACCGGCGGCTCTTCCTGAGGCTCTTCATTTATTTTCTGGGTCTAAGACCGACATGTGGCGGTGGGGTATGGCCGCAGTCCGTTCGCTTACTCCCCGTAGATAAGGGACTGACCGTTGCCCGCTAAGGTTAAGACTTCCGACGCCCGCCACAACAGAGGGGGCTTTCTATCCCCCACCCCCCCCCCCGTCCCATCAAAGGGCGCTTTTCCCAGCACTCACCTCCGAAGCCCGTGAAAGCAGCAGCGAAGCACCTGGTGGCTTGCTGCTGGCGGGACTGTGTCGGGCATCCTAAACCCTGAACCCTAAACCCTAAACCCTAAACCCTAGACCCTAACCCCTAAACCGGCTCTTCCGCTTATGCTCTAAGACCGGCGTCTTGCGGTTGGGGAAAGGCCACCTCCCAGACCCCCAAAAGGATCTAAAAAATAGATCCCCTAAGGGGGTTCCTATAAAGTACCCTTTAGTAGTTAGGGTCCCTAATTAGGGGATCTATTTTTTAGATCCTTTTGGGGGTCTGGGCTGGCAGCTCACCGCAAAGCGGAGCGCTGTGTCGAGCTGTGTCGGGCCTGCTCGGTGTTTGGGGGTTTAGGGGTTTAGGGGTTTAGGGTTTAGGGGTTTAGGGTTGTGGGTTTAGGGTTTAGGGTTTAGGGGTTTAGGGGTCTAGGTTTAGGGTTGTGGGTTTAGGGTTTAGGGTTTAGGGTCTCACCGCTAGGCGGAGCGCTGTGTCGGGCTTTTGTCGCCGTGTTTAAAGCTTTTTGGGGTTTAAGGCTTTAGTTTTAGGGCTACCAAAGATCCCTTAGGAACACAGCCAGTCCTGACCTGGGTTTAGGGTGAAGGGTTTAGACCCAGAGCAACACGAAACCCCAAAACCCCAAGCCCCTGAAACCCTAAACCCTAAACACTAGCACCCAAAGCCCCTGAAACCCGAAGCTGTACACGCCAACCAAAATGGCCCTGAGCTTCCGACCATGCTGGGCCTGGGCACAGATCATGGGTAGTTATAAGTAGGGTTCCTTTAAAGGGATCTATAGGGTTTAATTTGGGTTTAGGGGTAGTTACTTATAAGTAGGCTTTTAAGTAGGAGAGCTATAATTATAGCCTGTCTTCGGGGACTTATAATTTCACTGACCACTGCCCATGCGGGTAGTTCTCTAAATTAGGGTCCCCAATATAGCACGGCAC